AGGGGCGTGGTAATAGAGAGGCAGGCCCTGAGAGGGCGGGGACTGAAATGGGCGTGGTAATAGAGAGGCAGGCCCTGAGAGGGCGGGGACTGAAAGGGGCGTGGTAATAGAGAGGCAGGCCCTGAGAGGGCGGGGACTGAAATGGGCGTGGTAATAGAGAGGCAGGCCCTGAGAGGGCGGGGACTGAAAGGGGCGTGGTAATACAGAGGCAGGCCCTGAGAGGGCGGGGACTGAAAGGGGCGTGGTAATAGAGGCAGGGCCTGAGAGGGCGGGGACTGAAAGGGGCGTGGTAATAGAGACGCAGGCCCTTAGAGGGCGCGGACTGAAAGGGGCGTGGTAAAAGAGAGGCAGGCCCTGAGAGGGCGGGGACTGAAATGGGCGTGGTAATAGAGAGGCAGGCCCTGAGAGGGCGGGGACTGAAATGGGCGTGGTAATAGAGAAGCAGGGCCTGAGAGGGTGGGGCCTGAGAGGGCGGGGCCTGAGAGGGGCAATCCGGGGCTTGGGTGGGGGCAGGGCCGGAGAAGGACAGGAACTGAGAGGGGCGGGGCCTGAGAGGGCGGGGCCTGAGAGGGGCGGGGCCTGAGAGGGGCACCCCTCAAAGTGGCAGTGGTGGTGAGAGTCTGTAGCCATATATTATTGGTTCACAGAGATGATCACCTGACTCTGGAGAGAACAGTGATCTTGCTCAGACAATATTTACTTTTTACCTAATGCTTTGACTTGCTTAAGGCTTCCTCCTCTGCGATGCCATAGCCTCTCCTCTGACACCAAGACCCCGTCCCACTACATGATCTCTGCCCCCTCTGACAGGGGGCTGGTTGGGGGTGCTTACCGTCATGGTCTGGGGCTGAAAAGCGATCTGGCAAAGTGGGGCCACCAGTGGTCCACCGGTCAGGAACACAGCGGCAGCATGAACAAGGACCTCCAGCAGGGCGCGCCTCTGAGCAGGCATCGAGGGTGTGACACGCAGTGGGGAGCCCACGCCCCCCACCTTGTTGTTCAGCAGGCCAGTGCACAGGTTTTTGTGCTTCCCAGACAGGTGGTTATTCAGGAAGTTCGAAAGAGTCTTTATACCCTGGATCATGTGGATTAATGAGGGGGTGTGTCACGGTACACAGACCAATCACATAAATTCTGAGCTGTTACATTTGTATTTAAAGGGACAGGCACACTTCATGCATCCTGGCTACCTGCTGCATAAATCCTAGCAGTAGGCAATGTACATCAAAGAAATATCTTTAAATGACGAAGGAAAAAGGGCGTGGAGAGCAGGCAGGAGCTCACCTCCGGCGTGGGCCGCAGTCTGTGGTCAGCATCTTCCAGGCGGCAAGTCACCTCGCGGAAGAGGGCCAGGGACAGGAGCACATCTGTCACGGCACGGGGGCAGGCCAGGCCCTGGAATGGCAAACGGCAGACGGCGGACGGCAAGCTGAATCCCACGTCACTCTGACATACGGCACCAGTCAAAGGCCTTTTCACACTTCAGGCTTTACCACTTTTCCATTTATTTCATAAACTCCAGATTCATTTTTTAAATTTTTGTTAAACATTGAAAAGTTGAGTGAACAACTATAATTTCAGTCAAATAAAACAAGTTTCCTTTATAATATGGAAAGAGTACATAACAGTGCATGTCTGACATCCTATTAACTGGTTGTGTGGTGATGGCAGAGTCAGATTCTAGGCCGTCCTTTAACTTTAATTGCACTAGTTAACTGTTTCATCCCATGACACAGAGCAGTATTTAATGTCCCTTTAGACAGAATTTTCTCTGCTGTTATAACTGCTAGAGGAGGTTATTTTGATGAATCAAAGATATGACATTTTCTTGCTAATAAAGGTATTCAAATGGTAAACAAACTGTAAATTTGAAGAATACTGTGTGTATATTTAGTAAATATTAAAACGTAAATAAGTGTGTGCAAAAACATTTCACTGGTGGTGTATTTCTGAAGGCATACGACAAGAGCAGTGCGACGATGACAGTCAATGCAGTGATCGGACGCTATTCTGTGAGCAGCCGCTGAGGGCGTACTGAAGGTCAATTTATTTATTTAGCAGCTGTCAATACTCAAAGTGATGTATGTCTTTTTTTTGAGACAGTCGCTGGAGCAATAGAAGCCCAACAGTGAAATTACTCTGCCAAACACGGGATTTGAACCAGTGACCTTCTGATCACAGGCACAGCTTCCTAACCCTCTGAGTCACGCAGCAGACCAGACATCAGACATCGGGCCATAACAGAGTTGCCTGAATGCCAGATCTTTCTGGTTTTCACTCTGCTTCAGTTTGTCGATCCTTTAGACCGTTCCTTTACATGTACAACCTAATGAAATGACTTGAGCGGGAAAACCCTAATCGACAGGTACATATAGCCGTCAGAGGTGTCTGACCTGCAGGTGGGTGCTGAGAGTGTTGGCCTCCAACTCCAGAAGTGTGTGATACACTTGGTTCCTCAGGACCCGGTAGGGCTCCCCGCAGCACAGAAACCGGTCCACCTTCACGGGCGTCTGTCTCTGGGCAGCCGGACAGAGAGAGATGTCTCAGCTTCACTTCAGTCTATCTTCTACACCGCTATAAACATGGCTGCTACCTCCGCATGGACCCGCCCAAATCGCCCCACACCCGGCTACCCGCTCGGGCCACGATACCTGCAGTCGGAGCACCTCAGAAGGGAAGATCCAGCTGCGGTTGGGTCTGTTCATCAGGACCTGCACGCAATCCACTCCTGCCAGCCGGTGGACAGCCCTCAGCAGGTAGACACGGTGCCAGTCATTACCGCCGTGCTCCAATGCGGCTCTTACACGGCTCAGGAACCGCTCCCCCAGCTCAGACGGGGCCTCTGATTGGTCGGCGAGAGAAAGAGCAGCCAATCAGAAAGGAAGGGGGCAGCAGATGGGGAAAGGAAGTGAGAGCAAAAACTCCCACATCCATCCCTGAACATGCCACACACACACACGCATACATAATTAAACACACTATCACACACACATGCCCACACACACATATATATATATATATATATGAATATATAAATGCGACTATTAACAGCAGCCTGCATGTGTCTATAAATGTTTAATTTCTAAACCTAAGGTAATATATAATTTTACCTTTTTCTTCATCAGAGGGTGAAATAATGAAAAGTATTTTTCAAGGCTTTTTGTCTGAAATCTACCACACAGCAAACAAACAATCATCGTCAGCATAGTTTTCTTTTTTCAGAAATGTTTTATCTTTTATTTATAGGTCGGGTTCTGAGAACAGCAGCAGCCCCCAGACAGTGAATCCTCAAGCCTCAACACTCACCCTTTCCCTTAACTGCCCCCTGCTGGACACCACAGCTACTGCTACTAGTGATGGACAATTCATGAACCATTTGCTGTTTTTTTTGACCCCACTAGATGGTGCTCTTGGTGTGCTTTGGGTTTGCTTTGTGCCCTTTTTTTAACAGAAAACACCATCTAGTGGCATCAAAAAGGAAGGAAGGCTCATTCTGCGCATCGCTAAGTGCTACTAACCCTCGAAGGCCACTGCAGCCTGCAGCAGGCGGGCAGCGGTGCCCAGGTATGCCCTTAGCCTGGCCACGGCAAGCAGGAACTCGGCTGGCTGGTCCCGGATGCTGGGCAAATGACCACTGGCCAGCTGGCTCAGAAACTGGATGCCCTCCTGCAGGTGGTGCTGTTCCTCTGCCATCCCACCACCTCCAGGGCTGCACAGCGAGTCCTGGCACCAGACCAGAGATGCTTATTATTTACTATATTGTTTGTTTAATTCAGTTACCTAGGTTATGGTATACAGCCAACCTCTCATTTTGATTTTCTTTCATAGATTTGGGATCACAGCTCTGGCAGATTGCAGTTTCAAGCAACTCCTGTAATCTTATTTACTGTCAGGCATATTTATAGCCTCAAGGATTTATGGGAAAATGGGGATTTGGATAACTGAGCCCTAGGCTCTTTTACTGTGAATGTCATAATATGCAAATGATATTGTTTTAAGAAGTTTCACACACCAGAAAGCAGGCAGTGTCAAACAAAGGCAGGATTTCCCTCTCATAAAATGTGTTCTTAGATATCTGGACAAGATTAACTTAATGCATTTATTTAGTTTGCTTTTTTACTGGATTCATTGAGGTTAAATACTCCAGATCAAGGAGACAGGAGCAGGACAGCCCTCCCCCAGTGACATCACTCCCCCATGCTCTTAAAGGGGCAGTTCACCTCAAAACCAGAAAATATGTGTTTTTTAGTGCTATCTGCACATCTACATCATTCTACTGGGGGTTGCCTAGTTTTGGAGATATCAGGTGTAGAAATGTCGGCCTTCTCTCGAATATAATGGGAGTTAATGGCATTCTTTCTGTGGTGCATAAAGTGCCAAACAACTACATTTGCTAAATTCAACTTTGTAGTGAGAAGTTAAATGTAGGAACTATTTTGAACTCCACACACCAATTGTATCATGGCACAGAGGATATCGCCGGGGTGCTTGTGCTCATACCATTTGCGCAGCAATACGATCGGTGCCTGCTGTTCAAACTCCCAGCAAAATAACCTAGATGGATCAATAGCACTAAATTTTGTGGTGAACTGGCCCTTTCAGTGCTGCCCTTCACCTGGAAACAGTTGACAAAGAGAAGGTAGAGCTCCGTCTGGTCCTCTCGCTCCAGGATGTGGTCCTGCAGTGTGCGTAAGTAGCCCTGGATGTGATCTTTCACCTGCTGAAAACTGTGCGAGAGCACCCCCCATGGTCACTCCTGGGATTACAGGATGGCCCGCCTGGTCCAGTGTGCCCGTCTCCCCGAGTCAGTACCTGTACTGCAGTAGCAGCTTTGGAAGCACGGAGCGAACAACCGGATTCTGGTCCACGCTGTCCAGGAAGGGCGTGAGCTCTCTGGTCCTGTACGCAGAATCTAAAGCACATGTGGACACCAGCACCGCCGTTTACTCTGATACCTGCCCAGAAACCCCTCACACAGACCTCACCTCCACATCA